CCACGTGCGCGGCATTGCCTTGCCTTTGCAAATGTGTGCTTCCCACGTGCGCGGCATTGCCTTGCCTTTGCAAATGTGTGCTTCCCACGTGCGCGCACCGTCCAAGGAGCTTCCGCTCTGCAGCGCAGTCAGCTAACGTCGCGGCGCACGAGCAGCGCGTGCGGCGGGAGCGGAGAGCCCGGGTCTGGGCTCCCCCGCCTGCGGCGCCCACTCTCCCCCGCTCCCGGCCCTCACTGCGGACTGACTTCTCCCCACCCCGTGAGTTTGGCTCTGGAGCCATTTCAGGGGTCAAGTGGGGGAGAAACGCAAATACAAGACTCGGAGCCCGAGAGCAGCCGCGTGCTGGGGAAAGCTGTGCGCAGCCCCCGGTCGCTGAGGCCGCACAGGCTCGGCTAGCCGGGACCTGCGCTCTGTCCTCAGAGGCCCTGCCGCTGTCACCGGGACTGGACCCGGGAGAAGGCGCTCCTGCCCCTCCCGCCGCTCAGGGACGCGGGGCTCGGCCGCACGCGTGTCCCCGCGGCGGCGTCCTCCAGAGCCGGACCTCGTGCTGCCGTGCCCTGGCCGCAGCCTGTGTCTCTGCGGCGGCTCTACCCGCGGGCGGCACCTGGGCCTCACCTGGTGGTAGTAGGCGACGGGGAAGCCGATGGTGTACTTCATGGGCACCGCAGCGATCCCCCTCTTCCTCCAGCGGCTCTGCCTGTTGAAGTCCTCAGCAGCCCGCTTCCGCGCGGGGAAGGACGCCTGCTCCAGACACTCCTTCCAGCACCTGCGCAGGGCCTCGGGGTGGAACGTCTGCTTGTAGGCCGTCTGGCTCAACCTCTTGTACATGTTTATTTCTCTCACCTGAAAGCCGAGAAAAGGCAGGGGCTCTCAAAGACCTGATCCATCGGGAAGCAGGCGTGATGCAGGGAGACCCTTCTCAGCAGAGAAGCAGGGGTACAGAAAGCCACAGTGAGGTAGGTACAAGGTACACGTGCAAAACTGGCACTGGTAACAAGAGCAGCAGTTAGGTCTCTTGAGCGCTCTGTGTGCTTCTGGCTCTGGACTCTGGGCTTCTCTCAGGTTGCCCGAGGACCTGAGCTCTGGTCGGCATGGTCAACCTGTCCAGGGCAGTGGGGAGACAGCGCTCCTGGCTGGAACGCCTTATCCTGCATGGCACAGCCTTGCTCCTACCTGCGTGGCAGCCTTGCGGCAGCACTCACACCAGCACACCCCGGTGCCCTCCTGGGCCCTGGTGCCTTCACTGGGCGCTGGATCAGCTCTGGTGGTTTAGGCCTTGCCATATTTCTGCTGTGCCTGGGACCCCAGACACCCTTGCTGTGGACTGACTGGCCTTGGTGCTGGGGGCTCAGACCTCAACTCAAGCACCCGCCAAGGACCCCAGAACATGGCAGCCAGGTCACCAGAGACAAGAGCGCTCCAGAGCAGAGCCACAACCCCCCAGAGAGGTAAGAAATATGTCACCATCTTCAGCCCCCCAGCATGGCCTACTCCCCATGGCAGCCTAAGCAGCCACCAGGGGCACTGCTTTCTCTGAGCCCACAATGGGTTCCCAGTGACATTGGCTGGGGCTGTGACATTTTCTCCAGGGCCTGAGTGTTTACCTCTTCGGGGAGCAGGCCACAGTGAGAGGCCACTGCAGTCATGTAAGCTTCCACCACCACGGTGGCCTGAGGGAAGCCGAAGCCCCGGAAGGCCGTGTTGGATGGTAGGTTTGTTCTGCAAGCTCTTCCCCGGCACCGGAAGTTAGGGATGTGATACGCGTTTTCCGATTTCAGCACTATGAACTCCAGCACCTGCACAGAAGCAAAGCAATACAGCTTCACTGCGTACAAACAGGCCAGATTTTGTTTCTAGCCTAAATCCTTCACAGCCATTGGCTGTTCTGTAAGTAGAGTAGGCACAGCTGCCCAGTGGGTGGTGTGGGAGGAAAGGTTTCTCGCTTACCAGCTGGGACTCATCTGGAGTGCAGCCACCATTGATGTAGAACTGGACATCCGAAGCTTTGATCAGCCCGTTCTTCATGAACCCAACCTGCGGAGGGAGAACAGGTGGCAACTTTGTTCACAGCCCTCCCTGTCCCACCACACGCCGGACCACTGTCTGAAGCCACATTCGGCCTGTGCCTGTGGCTGACATGACAGTCCCTGTGGGCACATCACTGGTGGTGCCCCAGTTGCAGGGAGTTTTAGGCTGTACTCAGGTGTCTTTTTGAGGGGCAAGGGACCCAGCAGCTGTCTCCACTGGGGGTTGTCAACACAGCACAAGGCCCAGGCATCCACCGGGGGGCACTCGGCTGGCACGCACCTTGTATTTTCCAAGGAGTGGGTGGCGACCAGCAGTAATCAGCATGTCCTCTCCACGCTCCAGGACTAGCCGGATGGGGCGGCCAGTTCTGCAGGAAATGTGCTCGTGAGTGGGAGCCGCCATGAAGTGCCAGAAACATGGGGTGAGGCAGGGGCCAAGGTGTTTCAGCTGAGGGGCAACAACTCCACGGGTAGCCCCAAAGCTTGCACAGTGACAGCGTGGGGGGCACTGAAATTAACAGCTCACTTTTGGCTCTGTCACGCCCACATTTCCTGTGGGAAACCAAACGAATGATTTCCCCCTTCTGTCTTGTTTATTCTGCTTGGGAAGTTATGGGCTCACTGGGCAATGAAGTGTGGAGTTACAGACAGGGTTTGGTTTTATGAATTCACTTTGAGGTAGGAAAAGAGACACCCACGTGCCACCAGTAGGTGCGGGGCAGAAAGCGTGACCCCAGCCAGCCCTTCACGCTCAGACTCTGCTTCTGCTGCCAAATCTGTTCCAGGGACTCTGGTCCCCATGGACATCCAGCTGGTGCACCAGCTGCACATGGGCTTCCTGCACTAGAAGTGACCGAGTCCCACTCCACAAGCTGTGCCTGGGGCCTGTTACGCTCCTGGGGGCAGGAGGGAACTCTAGAAGCCACTGGTTCTGTGAGAGGTAGAGGCAGAGGCAGTCCGAGTGCGCGCTGCTGGGCAGGCGGTGTGCGTGAGGTGGCACGGCCTGCTGCCAGGCCCGTGGGCACCGCGACTCTTACTTGTTGGCAGCTACAGCGGCTACGGCTCCCAGCAGTGCGGGCTTGGTCACCTTGCCCCCAAAGGCTCCTCCAGCCCTCCGCATGTGGCAGGCGACCCTGTTCCTCGGGACATCTAGAGCTGCAGCCACGAACTCCTGCAAGGGGAGCCCCAAGGAGGCCTGAGTACAGTCTGGTGGCTGAGTGGCTCCACCCCACGCCGCCCCTCCACTCGCAGGAACAGGACCCAGCACCCGTCGCACCGCTGCCCACAGCTGCACAAGAGCCTCCAGGATCTGCTCTGAGAGCACCCTGGCAGCCCCAGAGAAGCTTTGCCCCCTCGACCTGCCTCCTCCCAGCCCTGGGTGCAAATCTACTTCCTGCCCCTGTCGATTTGCCTGTTTTGGACATTTGAAGGAAAGGAATCACGGCAGGTGATCTTTGGTGCTGGCTCTCTCCAGTGTAATCTTTCCAAGGTCGCTTCTGTTGTGGTGTGCATGCTATTGTTCACGGTTAGGTAATAGTCCACTGTGTGGCTGTGCCAGCCTCCCTTGTCTGTTCTTCGGTCCGTGGACGTGGGCTGTCTCCACCCGTGACTCTTCGCAGTGCAGCTGTGTGACACTGTGCGAGGCCTTGGTGTGGACAGCCTTCCTGTCTCTTGGTGGAGACAGCTGAGGAGCTGCTGAGTTCCTGTTTGCCCTCGGTGCCCGCTGAGGGGCCAGAGGCCGCTGCTTTCCCCAGGCCGTGCCACCTTCCTGCCCTCAGCCGGGTCTGGAGGCCCAGTTTCGCTCTGTCTTTTTTCCACCTGGCTGTCATCTCTTGGGTTCCTGCCACTCTACGTGCATGAAGTGATAGCCCTTCACTCTTTTCTGCCCTCACTGGGTCTTTGGAGAGTTTGGTTCTGCTCTTTAGGTGGACAGGATAGACCCAGGCCCTGTATCCTGGTGGCCCTGCAGGTGGGGCTGCTGGATTATACCCAGGTGGTCTTGGCGCAGGCCTCTCTGTAGTGCCCAGAGCCGCCCGACATGTGCCCTTCCCAGAGCGAGCAGTAGTTGCAGGGGCAGGGGTTGGCCCCACGCTCCAGCACAGTGACACTGCTCTCAGGTCACTGAAGACTGTGCCCACCCTGCGTATCCTCACCGTGCTGCCTCTGAAGCCTGTTACCTGCACGTGGGTGGGAAACTGGGTGCCCAGGTGCAGCACCATCTCCTTGTCCTCCTCCCTCGGAATGGCCAGGACGGTCTGCGTCTCCATGTAGAAGTGCTCCTGGCCCTCCACATGCACCTCACCTGGGGGGCAGCATCGGCTCAGTGGCCCTGGGGGCACTTCCGGCCCTGCTGGCCTCACACTGCCCAGACTGCGGAGGGCGTGGCCCTCACTTAAACACTGCAGGACAGCGCTCTTGCTTTTAGCTAGCTGGAGGACCTCCCAGAGCAAGCAGGCTGCTCTCTGCCAAAGCCAAAGTCAAAGAATTATTTCTTGGGATAGCAGAAAATGACCACACTGATACCTTACCCTCTCAAAAACACGTTTCATTTAGTCTAAGCTCTAATTAATTAATGAATTTTCACTACTGGAGAGTGAACCCAAGGCTTTGCACTGAGCTGTGTCTCCAATCTTTTTTTTTTTTTTTTTGGGGTGGGTGGGTACTGGGGATTGAATTCAGGACCCTGCACTTGCCAGAAAAGCACTTATTCTACTGAGCTCTCTCCCTGGGCCCTATTTTTTAATTCTGAGACAAGTTCTCACTAAGTGGCCCAGCCAGTCCTCCTGCCTTAGCCTCCTTAGTAGCTAGGATTGCATGCTTGTGCTATTAATTTCTTTAACTTAAATTTTATTTTTAAACAGGAGAAAAGTTTTGATTTCATTTCACTGCTTCCAAAAATGAAAAGAAAACCCTGAGGCCTGAAAATTTCTATGCTGTTTTAACAAAGGTTACTACGTTTTTGGAGCCGTGATAGATACAGAGTTTTGAGCTTTTGGAGCGGTTAAGTGAGGAGAGAAGGCGGGCATGTGGCTTAGCTGAGCAAGGTTTCTTACTCAGATTCCTCTCAGAGCTCTCTGGGCTGGCGGCTGTCTAGAGGTGTCTCTTACCCTGCCCTTCCGGGCTTGGGAGCAGGAGCACCTCCAGGGGGAGAACCATCCCTCTATCTATCTATCTATCTATCTATCTATCTATCTATCTATCTATCTATATCTAGGTATCTATCTACATACGTATAGATCTATATTTTGGTACCTGAGATTAAATCAGGGCCTTTCACTTAACTACATCCCTAATGTTTTTTGTTTTTTATTTAGAGACAGAGTCTTGCTAGGTCACTAAGTTGCCCAGGCTGAGTTCAAACTTGCAGTCCTGCGGCCTCCACCTCCCAAGATGCTGGGGTGACAGGTGAGCACCCTCACACCCAGCTCCTTTTGGTTAAAGGGTAGCATGGTAGCCTTTTCCTGTGACTGCTACTTCTCAGTTGCCTTGAGGTCAAAATAATCCTTATGCTAGAGTGGCATATTTTGAAACCCAAATTTATTTACTTAACAATTATATAATCTTTATGATTTGCTAGATAATTTTCTAAAGTTTAGCACTTTACAGTTTAACCCCTACACCAAATCCGAGGAGGCACTCTGTCACCCACACCAGGCCAGGTGGGGGAGCTGGGGCCAGGGAGGGATGAGTTGGTAGCCAAGGCCACACAGAGGCTCAGTGGCAGTGCCAGGAGGCTCCAGGCCTGGGCCACCAGACCTCAAGATCCACACTCTCAGCTACCACACTGCACCCCTTCTACATGGTGGGTGCCCCAAGCCACCTAGTCATTGCTGCTCAGACTCCCTGCATGATTCCAACTTGTGCCAACGGTATGAACCCCATGGCTGCCAGCATTCTAATGGCAAAGACCCCAGATGACACTGTGTCAATCTGCTGCCCTTTAGGTAAGAATAAAAGTGAAAAGTGTTCCCCATCAGCAGACTAATCAAAGAAATCAAGCAAAACTACAAGGATCCACTGCATACCTGCTGTGGTTTGTACCTAGGGCGCCTTCCTGCCCTCATGCACAGCTTGGTGAGGCCCTGGGGGACTGGAGCAGGCAGGTGTGACATGCACTCAGAGCAAAACGTGATGCTGGGAGGCGGTGGCCCTACCAGTGTCTCCCTCCTCCCCCTCGATCTCGCTGCTTCCTGTCTGCGCTGCCATGGACTGCTTCCCTTCCACCACACTGCCCTACCTTTGAATGTGGACTGAACCATGGTCTGAAACCTCTACAGGCTGTGAGCTAAGATTACCCTTCCCTCTTTATAGTTCTGGGTGTTGGGAATTATGTCTCAGCCATAATAAAGTAAGACAACCTGAGATAAAACTAAATGGCTAGCAATATCAACGGAACTCCCTTGATCACCAGTCATACTAGGGAGTGCATTCATATAAACTTTATTATTACTTAAAAATATTTGGTATAGGGCTGGTGAGATAGCTCAGTGGACTAAGTTCCTGCTTAGGCAAGCTCAGGGATGAGGGTGTGATCCCTGGCACCAGATGCCACACGGGCTCTGCCACCTGGCACGCTGGGCTGGCCACTGAGACTGTGTGTGGTGGCAGGTACCTATAATCCCAGCGCTGGGGAGGCTGAAAACAGGAGGATCACTAAGAGTCTGAGCTTCATCGTGAGACTCTGTACCAAATACAGTAAAAAATTTTTGGTAGGGGGTGGGGAGATAGCTCAATTGAATAAGCACTTGCCTGGTAAGCACAAGGACCTGAGTTCAATCCTTGGCTCCACCAAATAAAAAGAAAAAAAAGAAAAAAAAAAAAAGAAAAAAATTGGTATAGATTACTCAAGTTAAGCATATAAATATGCTAATATTCAGCAATTCACCCTTGGGTATATTTCAGTAGAAAGAACTGCTACATTCACTAAAGGACAAGCATCATGGTGCTTATCGAAACTTTATTCAGAATAGTACCAAAGCAGCAACAACTGAAACTCACCTCAGCAGAAAGCAGAGGTAAAAACTATGGCATTTGAGTACAGTGGGTACCGCTGAATAATGAGAGGGCTGCAGGTCTGGGGGACGCTGCACATGGACAGCCCTCCCACATGTGCTGTCACAACACAGGCCTGGGAGGCTGCACCCCAGCGTCACCATGGAGATGAACCCACCCACCTGCAGCAGGAATTCAGAGACTGCTCTGCAGGGGGCGGCCTGGCTGGGGCAGAGCTCTTGGTGTGAAGACCTCCCGTGTCTTGGTGTGGGTAGGACCACGCCGGTTTCTCTGGCTGCAGAAGCCCGCCTAGCAGCGCACCTGTGCTCTTCAGCTGTTCTTTGATGACCACGCTAGGCTGCTAGAATGCTGCCCCAGGGTGTCACTGGAGCCCAGAGCAGGTGGCCTTTACCGGAAGCGTTCCTCCCATACCCAGGAGCTACGCTCACCTTCAATGATCTGGTCCACGTGTTTAAAGGCTTGGTCCACATTTCCTTGCTCAATTTTCCTCTCAGGAGAAAGAAACGAATTGTGCTCTAGGGCTTGCTGCAGAGGGGGAGGGTTTGGCAGGGAGGGCCTCAGGGTCCTGTCACAGTGCAGGCTGCCTGAGTCCTGCTCTGAGATGCTTGGTGGCCCTGAGTGGAGCACAGCCGAACTGCTCATCCCCGCCCCGCCCACAGCCGAGCTGCTCACCCCGCCCCGCCCACAGCACCCCAGCGCACAGGCTGCCAGGCACTGGCTACCTCGATCGTGATGATCCTGGGCTCCAGGTCCTCATACTCGATCTTCACTTTCTTGGCTGCCTCTCTGGCATGAGCGTAGGTGTCAGCAGCCACGGTGCACACGATCTGACCCACGCAGATCACCTGGGGAAGCCACAGGCTGCTGACAGGCTGAACATAGACCCTGTCAAGGAGGGACTCTCCCACTCATGCACGGTGAACAACTGGGTTCTGTGGCCAAAGGAACTTAATTTTCTGCCCGTGAGAATGGATTTAAAGTAGGCCTGAGTGGACCGGGGGCAGGAAGGCCGGGTGTGGAGCTTAGTCGTGGTGTAAGGACCTCCTCTGTCCCCCTGCTCCACACCCAGGAGCATGTGAGATGCAGACACGTCCGCCATCCCTCAGGGTCCTGTGTGCTCCACTGTGCCCACAGCTGTCATGTGTCTAGAATCTTGCTCAGAGGCCTTAGGGCTTCAACAGAGGCCACGAGGACCCATGACTCAGGAGCGGCTGGAGGACTGTGTGTGGGGTCCCTGGATCCCAGCAAGACTTTGTGCTGTGAAGCGCTAGGCCACTGCTGCAGTTCTCACACTCCCAGCAGCTCAGACAGTGAGCCGGGCACACACCTCACTCTGGGCGTACAAAATCTCTCCTTTGTGGTTGTTTTCGCCTGGAACATCCTCTGCTGTTATCACTGAAACCACTCCTGGGAGTGCCAGGGCTTCTGCAGTGTTGATGGATCTGGGAGGGAAAACCCGAGATGTGGAGGAGGCAGTTGGAAGTGAGCTGGGGGACCACGTGAGTGACTCCCCCAGGCCCACAACTGCAGGGGGTCACATGAGTGACTCTCCCAGGCCCACAACTGTAGGGGGCCATGTGAGTGACTCTCCCAGGCCCACAACTGCAGGGAGACCACGTGACTCTCCCAGGCCCACA